AATATGTATTTTCCATCATTTTGCTTTTAACCTCTTTGTGTCTTTATACTTGAAGTGTGTGTGTTATAGGCAGCATATAGTTGGGTCTTGCTTTTTATTCAATCTGATAAAGTCTGATATTTGAGTTATTTACAACATTTTATTTTATTTAACCAAATCTATCAACTGTTATATGCTTTCATTATTGTCATTTCCTTTTTTTCTTCCCCCTTTAGAATAATTAAATGTTTTTAATAATTCCATTCTATCTCCTTTGTTGACTTAGTAGCTATAAATCTACCTCATTTCTTTGCTTTCTATCCAAATGAGTCCATGGAAACTGCTTGTACATTGTTTAATCCTTATGCAAACTTGTCTTCCAACATCAGAATTATAATCCTAATTTGAATTTTTTTTTACTTAATATATTTCCACAATTGTAAAAATTAATCTCAGATTTCTAAATCATGAAATAATTTGAATTCAGATTATTAACCAAATGATTGGAGGTGTAACTGAATAGAATTGTTTCATTTGTTCATTTACTCATTGGTTCATTATAACAATCCTATCAGACTTGTACAGGAGAGGCTATCTCAACCCACTTCCACATAGCCCCCTACCAAAATGACTAATGTATTCCACAGCTTCTGTAAAACATGCAGGCTGATGTCCAGGACTTGCCAAAAGGATATCAGAGAGTAGTTAATAAACTATTCCTGCTCCTACCGGTTGAATTTCATGATAATCAAGAAATAATTGTGCATTTACCTCAATCTGGTTTTGCCAATTATTTTGCAGTAAATTATGTAATTTAATTTTAAAATGATATAACCAAATAATAATGGACTGTGAAAACAGTTATATTTATGAAAATTAAGCTGAATGTTCTGGAAAGACTCAAGAAGTAAAAAGAATTAGTAATAATTTAGATAAAAACAAGACAACTATGAAATTAGGGAGATATTTTCTAAATCTAGACAAAATTTCTCTCACCTTCACCTCCAACTGAAAATTATAGCCAATAAATCATAGGTATTATTAATGCTATAAGATGATACAAAATTCTAATCAGTAGGTTCCAAAGAGTCTTGGACCACACCAAAAAATTGATGAGTAAATGAGTTATTTAAAAGTTTTATGTTATAATACAATGTTCAAGCCAAATATGCATTGTTTTTATGATTTTCCTTTTTAATCAACTTTCTGTATTAACCAACAAAGTATATGATCTAAATGAGTTATATAGTTTCAATCCTCTTTTTACAAAGAGAAAAAAAGTGAGTCATAAGTTAAATAACAATCAGAAGGTCAGATTATAAACTCAGACTGCAAATATCCAAAGCTGAATGGTATCTTCTGCTGGCAACAACATACCACTCAGTATACGATTACTAACATAAGACATAGGCCACTTCAGGATGAATAGTCTATTTAATATTTATAGTCTTTATAATTATATTTATAGTTTTTACTCTTGCTATTATCATTTTTTACCCTTACCAGAAACAAATTATGTATAATGATAGAAATATCATTACTGAGCAGGATAAAGCCATAACAATATAGGTTACAGGGCTGGAGAGCAAGTAGAACAGGCGGAAGATCACTGAGGTAATTCTAGAGGAGATGGTAGTTACATGCACTAGGAACCTGAATGTGAATGTTTGAAACACATGCTTGCAATGTTCAGAGTCAGCATATGTAGGTCAATAAAGGTGAAAACAGCAGGCTCTGGAATCAGACTGCCTGAATTTGGGTCCTGGCTCTACCTTTGACTATCAAGTAACATTGGACAATTCATTTAACCTCTGTTTCCTCATCTGTGAAATGAAGACGATAACTCCTCGGCATAAGGCTGTTTTAAAGATTAAATAAAATAAACTGCATAAAAGAGTGTCTGCAACATAGTAAGCACAGATTATTCACCAGATAGCATAAGGTTCTCAACCTTCCTAATGCCGCGACCTTTTAATATAGTTCCTCATGTTGTGGTGACCCCCAACCATAAAATTATTTTTGTTGTTACTTCATAACTGTAATTTTGCTACTGTTATGAGTCATAATGTAAATATCTGAAGTGCAGGATGTATTTTCAGGGGTCACGACCCACAGGTTGAGAACCGCTGGAAGTAATGCCATGAGTGACCAGTCTACGAGGATTCACATCTCAGTGCAATTACTTACCAGCTCTGTAACCTTAAGGAAAGTTTAATTTCTTTGGGCCTCAAATTCCTCATCAGTAAAATGTGCATAATAAAAGCTCCAATCCCACAAGATTATTGTGAGGATTTCAATAAGTTAATAAATGTAGTGACTGAGATTAACTGCTTAATCTAATAAATGTTAGCCACTACTATTTTGTATATTACTGGCTTTTCAGCTAATTGAAAATTGCTCTTTCTGCGAGTATCCAGATGTTAGTTACCACCTTTGGCTCCATGCTTCTCACCCTCCAAAATAAACAGGACTCAATTTATTTCTATACAGATAGATCACCAGTGCCATCTAGTGGTATTGCTAACAAATTCACCAAATGAGTGATATTGCCCAAAAAAGGGTAAAATTTCTACAGATATAAATTTAATTTTTAAGACAGACTAAGTTGAATGTTGTTATTTGGAAATTTGTAACATTTTATATAACTACTAGAGGCCCAGTGTACAAGATTCATGCACTGGGCGGGGGGGGGGGGGGGGTAATGGCCCTCAGCCTGGCCTGTGCCCTCTCACAGTCTGGGACACCTCGGGGGATGTCTGCCTGCCAGCTTAGGCCCAATCCCCATGTCTTCCTGCTGGCTTAGGCCCGATCCCCCTGGGAATTGGGCCTAAGCCGGCAGGCAGACATCTCTCTCTCAGTCCACCCACCTGCCACTGCTTTGCTCGCCAGCCATGAGCCCAGCTTCTGGCTGAGCAGCACTCCCCCTGTGGGAGCACACTGACCACCAGGAGGCAGCTCCTGCATTGAGCGTCTGCCCCCTGGTGGTCAGTGTGCATCATAGCAACAGTCGTTCTGCTGTTCTGTCAATTTGCATATTAGGGTTTTATTATGTAGGATTTGGATGAAGTACACAAGCAAATGAGAGAAATTTCATAAACTGCAAACTATAAATAGATTGCTTGGCAAATACAGTACAAAAAAGTTTTTTATTTTTTTTTTTTGCATGAGCCAAACAATTGGGTTTAAACCCATTGCCAATATTTTTGGACAGATTTATGATGCTTACAAACCCCTGATAATATCTAGACCTCAGTTTCTTATAATATGAAATGAAGGTGTTGTACATGTTGAATTTCTTTCCAGTTCTAAAAGTAAGTGATGGATTACTATACTAATTTTAACAGGATGAATCCATAGTATTACCTATCAGAAGCACTTTCTCAGAGGGAAACCTTGATGACTTGACAACTTCCAAGATCCTTTCCAACTTTATTATTTTTTAAAATGCAGCCATGTTGTAATTAGACATATAAATTTTTGGTATAATTTGAGCAGCACATAAGTTATAACATACTAAGACATTAGGTTATATTGTTGGAGAAATTAAAATATTAATACCATATAAAGATGCGAAGCAAAGCATCATGCATCTTTATTTTCTGCAAGTCCAAACCTACAGAAGGTGCGAAACTGCACAAAACTAATGTAACCTATACTATATCAGCAGTCCTTGCTTTGCTCATTGAAAATGCACAAATTTTAGAGCCACAACTAATTAAATAACACCAGCCCTCCAATAACACAATTCACATGTCAGTGACCATGGTATATTAACTATATTATGTCAGAGTTGCTGGCTATTTGGTCTGTAAATCCCTATTTAAATAATAGATGTAGCATCAGGAGCAGTGACCAACATATCACTTCTTTCAAAGTCCATCGATGATTGCCCACTGCACATCTGTATTCAGTTCAAACATAGACAGCAAAGCATGTTGCCTCCTTGACTCCAAGTGTAATGTCACAATTCACATGACATTTCCCCAAAGTGAGTAATCAACAGAGGGAATTAGCCTATGAAGAGGAAAAGTACAGCAGAGTCAAAATGTGATGTTGCTAGAACTGAAAGTGGATTGAATAGATCTGAAAATGGTGACAGCCAAGCAAAGACATGAAAAATCTAGGCCCTCATGAAGTGAACATAAGACCTATAACCTAAAAAACAAGCTCAGGTTGCTTCAACAGGGTGCTAATTGAATATAAATAACTGTACAAGAAATAGGTGACTGGAATGTTGACACTGCGCCCTTTGGAGCAACTAAGCTAGGCAGTGACAGGAATTCAGAGAAGGTGAACTTACCAACATCAATGAGGAAAGTTATGACAAAAAGAATGACAATGTCCCAGAGGAAGTGACACTGGCATAAAACCTCACTTTGAAGAAACTCAGAAATATTTACAACTTTAAAAGTACAAAGAAAAAAATGAAAGCTGATTGAAACTTAAAAAGAAATATGAAAGTTCAAGTCACCAAGACTTAGAAAAGATGCTTGTTCCATATTGTAAGTCATACAATGAGAAGATGGTAAGTTCTGTTCAAACTCTTGACAAGTTTTTTGTAAAGAAATGAAATACTTTCATTCTCAATGTTTTAATGTTTTAAACTACAGTGTACTAAATAAATATTAGTTTTACTATTTTTCATTTCCCTATACATTTATAAACCACAGTAAGTAAATTTATAATGGTTTGAGAAAACATTTTAGAGTCATGGAACAATTGTCATTTTTACCCTTGATTATTAAGATCACTTTGCCTGATTTCAGCTTACACAGTCATTTTACGGTCTTGTAATACCGTGCAAAGCAAGGACTGCATGTATTGTCAATGTCTAAGTTGTTCTTTCACAATTTTCAGTCACTGTAAGCATAAGTCATTCAGAAATTGTCACTATTACATGATAGTATAATAGCTTGATCCCTTCTGAACAAATTATATAAATTACTTGCAGTATCATGACATAATGCTGAAAGGTGCCCTTTATCCTAACCAAAGCAGACATACAGAAAAGCATTAAATACCTGGCAGTGGCAACTGAACTAATATGCCACTGACTCTCGGGTCCATGTTCAATTGATCAGTTATATCCAAAAGCTCTTCTTGAGAAACATCCTTAGGCTTTAGAATGATCTCACTATAGATACCTAGAAGAAAACAAGCACAGTCACCTGGCTAACAACAATGTGTGCTTTTCATTAGTGGTGTCTTACACAATGTGTAACTCAAGCATGTCAAACTCAAAGGCTAACATGGACCAAATAAACAAGGTTTAAGTTTATGTGGGCCACAAAAAAACAAAAGCTTCAATTTTCATTGAAACGTAGGTTTATTTTGATAGAGAAATGCTGAATACAAAGGGCTGAAATAAACGAGTAATTATTAATATAAAATAGAACATTTTAATCAAAATTAATATTTTTTCTTGAACATTAACTTACCAGACACTGAATAACTGCACAAATTAATAAGCGTAATGCAAATAAACCTATTTCTCTTGTTCTTTGAAAATGAAATATTTCCTGTTGCGCACACCAAACAAGTCAGTCCAAGGCTAATGAGTGGCAATGGGCTGCTAAAATATTCGCTGCTAGTATTAGTGGAGAGAAATGGTGCGCCTGCACATAAGGCGTGTAAGGGAAATGAATGCAACATGATTATAGTAATCAGTCATTAGTAAACGCTGTAGTTCATCTACACTAATAAAAGAGAAAAATGGTAATTGGCGTACAGCGCTACCGTTTTCATTGGCTAATCAGGGCTATATGCAAATTAACTGCCAACTAAGATTGGCAGTTAACTGCCAACAAGATGGCGGTTAATTTGCATATGTAGGCACAATGCAGGGAGGCGAAAGGGAAAGCAGGAAGAAGCCCCCTGCCACTGACAGTGATCGGAAACCCAGGGGGGAGCTAAGAGCTGGGGGGCAGGGCAAAGGCGTTCCTGGGGCCGCCTTTGCCCTGCCCCCCAGCCATGATCGGAGAATCAGGTGCCTTTTCCGCCCTGGCCAGTGATAGCAGGAAGTAGGGGTGGAGCCAGCGATGGGAGCTGGGCACGGTGGAAGCTGGCAGTCCCAGGAGCTAGGGGTCCCTTGCCTGGGCCTAAAGCGAAGCCCACGATCGGGGGCCGCTGCGGGTCCCCGCTGCCCGGGCGGACGCCCAGGCCAGAGGCGTTAGGCCTGGGCAGGGGCGGAGCCTGCAACCGCGGGGAGCTGGGGGGGCGGAGCCGGGGATTGGGGGGATATGATGGTCCCCTTGCCCAGGCCTGAAGCCTGGGTCAGAGGCGTCAGGCTTGGGCGGGGGGTAGAGCAAGTGATCAGAGGGAGATGGGGGTCCCCTGCCCAGGCATGATTCCTGGGCCAGAGGCCTCAGGCCTGGGCCGGGGTCAGAGCCAGTGATTGGGGGGAGATGGGGGTCCCCTGTCCAAGCCTGACACCTCTGGCGGAGACGTCAGGCCTGGCAAGGGGCCGATCAGGCGATCGGAGGGTGATGTGGGTCTACGCCTCTGGCTGAGGCATCAGGCCTGGGCAAGGGGCAGAGCCAGCAATCGGAGGGGTCTGGGGGTCCCCTGCCCAGGCCTGAGGCCTCTGGCCCAGGAATCATGCCTGGGCAAGGGGCCGATCCTGCGATTGGAGGGTGATGGGGGTCAACGCCTGAGGGCTCCCAGTATGTGAGGGGGGGCAGGCTGGGCTGAGGGACACTCCCCCCCCCCCCAGTGCACGAATTTCGTGCACCGGGCCCCTAGTTATTAATAATTATGTATATCAGGATATTGTAAAAGTTAAGTTATGAAATTTTTATTAAAATGTTTCTTAGATACCATTATATTGGCTGGGCCACATGCAGTCCGCAAGTTTGACATGCTTTGTGTAACTGATTTTCTCTGCTCCTGTCCCACAGGAAGGAAAGGCCCTTCTACAAAAATGGTGTTCTAAGCATCATCAGAAGAGATTTCTCAAACAGGATTCACATGCATTCTTTGGCCCAGGATCCTATGTGGAAATTGCCCTTATTTGTGATAAGCTACTATTAGTGAATTTGAATACAGTAAAAACATTAATAGCATCACCACCACTGACAGGTCAAACTTGACAGAGTGAACTGGCCAGATTTATTATCTCATTAAAGCAAATGTATTAAAAACGGTCCTTTTAAATGTAAAGTCTTCCTCTCACATCTCACCATAGCATCTAAAATCACATTGAATTGATTCAATAAGAAATTTAAAGAAAGGGGTAAGAAATGAACATAAACATTGGTAACTAAAAAAATCTATCATAATAATAAATGTTATTCAAATAACACTTATTTGACAATGATCATTCATTATTACACTTTGAAGTAAAACCAGAAATATTCTTTAATAACAAGCACAATTAAAGCATCCCTACCTACAGCAGAGGCGGCTTGGATCTTCTTCCTGACGTAGGTGTGGCTTGCTGGGTTATCTCCCACTAAAATGATACTGAGGTGTGGTCTTCTATTCCCAAGGGAAATCCAGGACTCCACACCCTCTTGTATTTCTTTCTGGATTTGTTTGGCCATTTCAGTTCCTGAGATAATAATGGCATCGTGTCTATGGGGAATAAAAGATTAAATGTAGTACTGAAGACGACAGTAAGGCGTATTCAACAACATACGTTTAAGATACAAGAACGACTAAAACATTCGTGGTTCTCCAAGTGAGCATCCAAAATTTGATTTTCCAAGTATATATGACACCCAATTCTTCAGGTTCATAAATATATTTATAATTTTGTGAAATATTCTAGCTCTGCTTTTTAGTTTTACATCTGCATTATATCTATAGTATACATTTCTTTATAACTACCATGTGGATTTTTCAAATTATCAAACCACATACTCCAGATCTGGACTATAATACTGGCTCTGTTGAAAGCTCTATTATATTTAGAAGCAGCAGGTCAGCACAGTTTAGTTAAAAACTGACACCCATTTTCAAAGCCTTGTGCCATGTAGTATGTGACCCCACAGTACTGCGACCCTAAGGCTAGTGTGTTCACTGTTAGTTACTGTACCCTATACAGGACCTGAAGTCATGAGCTCTGTACTGCACAACTCTTTTAACTTTATTCCACAGCCTTAGGACAGCTCCATGACAACAGCTGCCAGTCTTGTCACGCTTGTCAGTGATTACTTTGGGGACCAGGTCAGTAACAATGGCCAATTGTTCCCCATATCATGGCATAATTTCTAATGAAAAAAAAAAATTGCACAGAACATTACTTCCTGCCAGTTTATATAAGTACTTTAAAAGGTAAGAAATGCTATGCTTTGATAGGTAGCATAAATCTATCTCTGGAACGGCACAAAGAAATGCATTATGGGAAGGCTTGCCAGCTCACCATGATGCCAAACTTAAGAGTGATAAATCTTGTTACTCTTACTGTGTGTTTATTTCTTAAAGGTACCTGATCTATAATAATAAAAGCATAATAAGCTAATCAGACCAGACGTCCTTCCGGACAGCCTTCCGGATAAAGCCGGAGCTACGAGTGAAGCCTGGGTCCCGGGTTCCAGAGGGAAGCCAGCACCAGCAGCTGGGGGAAGGAAGGCCTACTCTTGCATGAATTTCATGCATCAGGCCTCTAGTAAAGTATAAGATGGTTCCTTCTTCATGCTGCCATTATTATTACACAAAATGCCAAATGCAGGCCAATGAATATTGTGAAGAAGAGGAAGAGGAGGAAGCAGAAGAAAAGGAGGAAAGAAAAATCTTATAGCACCTTAATTCTTTCTAATATCTGTACACTTTTTATTTTCTAACAAATGTGGGCACAATGAATATCAGCCAACACACAAGTGCAAACTTGCTGCCTCTTCCAAATAAGTCAGCTGCCTTCTCTAACAGGTGGTATAAATACAGGTAGAACCAGATCAAGAATACTCCATTTCAGTCTGGCCCCAGTGGTCCATGGTGCTCATCCAAGTTCATACAATTCTGATGTAAACATTGTTCTGGGAAGAAGTGAATCCAAAATGTGGCCTATAAATAGATACATTAAAATTGCCTGGGAAGCCTGCTAAACTTGCAGATGCCCAGACCCCAAGACCACATCCACAATTCAGTCCTTAGAGGGTAAAGCCTAGGAATCCGCATGTCTAACAAGTTCCCACAAGTGTTCTTTTGCATGACAGTGTTTGAAAGCCACTTCTGCAGTTCAACACAAAAGTACATTTTAATAATAATCATAACCCTGGGTAAATAATTGACTGAGAGAATAAACTGGTTAGACAATACAATTAAAACTAGACCTTATAATTATAAGTAAACTACTTTTGATTCTAACTTTGTTGACTTTTCACTAAAAATTTAATAGCTTTCAAGACATGGAAGTTCATGGAAAATTCAGTGTGACACATTTGCTCACTGTCCTAAATTTATAGCAGTTTTATTGAAGTACTAGAGGCCCGGTGCACAAATTCATGCATGGGTGGGGTCTGGCAGGCCTGCCCCATCGGGGCCAATAGGGCGAGGCCAGCCAGGAAGTGGGGCCACGGTCAGTTGGCTGGCCGGCCCTGTCCCCTGGTTGAACTCCTGGTCAAAGGGACAATTTGCATATTAGCCTTTGATTATATAGGATAATTGAAATACAATAAACTGCACACATTTAAAGTATACAACTTGATGTTTTAATATATGTATGTACCTGGGAAACAATTACAATTAAGAAAATGAATATAGCCATCACCCCCCAAAATTTCCTGGTACTCCATTTGTAATCTCACCATTCTACATGTCCCTGCCATGTACCTCCACCGCCGCCCCCCCCCCCCCCGCGCCCCCATCACCAGGCAACCACTAATTTGCTTTCTGTCACTCCATATTAGTTTGTATCATCATGAATTTTATAAAAATGAAATTATGCACTACACTCTCCTTTTTATCTATCTACTTTCACTCACCATAATTAAGATTCATTAATGTTGTTGCATGTATCGATAGCTCATTTCTTTTTATTGCTGAGTAGTTTTCCATTGTATGGATATACAGAAAATTGTTTATCCTTTCAATTGTTGATGGGTATTTGGATTGTTTCCAGTTTGTGGTCATGATAAATAAAGCTGTCTGGAACATTCATCTTTAAGTCATTGTATACACATATGCTTTCATTTCTCTTGCACAAAATTTGAGCAGAATGGCTGAAACATATGGTAAGTATATGTTTAAATTTTTAAGAAACTGTCAACCTGCTTTCCAAAGTAGTTGTAGCATTTTACATTTCCACAAGCAGTATATGAGAGTTCCAGTTGCTCGACATAATGGCAATCACTTGGTATTGCCAGTCTTTTACATTGTAGACATACTAGTGCCTATACTGTGTGTTGGTATCTCCTTGTGCTTTTAATTTGCATCCCTATAGTGAATACTGATGTTAAGCATCTTTTCATGTGCTTATTTACCATCTGCCTATCCCCTTTGTTGAACTGTGTAATTTAATGTTTTGCCCATTGTTTAATAGATTATTTCCTTATTATTGAAGTTGTGAGGGTTATTCATAATATCCTAGATTCAAGTCCTATATCAGGTTTGTGATTTAAAATAACCTCTCCTAGTCTGTGCTTTACCTTTTCATTCTCTTAACTGTGTCTTTGGAATATCAGTTCTAAATTTTTATGTATTTCAATCAATTTTATTTTTATGGATCATGCCTTTGGTATTGGTATAATGAATCTTTGCCGCACTCAGGGTCACAGAGGTTTTCTCCAGTGTTCCCTTCTATAAGTTTTATGGGTTCAGGTTATACATTTAGTTCTATGATTTAGCTCTATTCATAGTTAGATGAGAGCTTATATCAGAATATTATCTAATTTTTTTCTGAATTTATTGAGATTATCATATATAATCCCATGGACTTTTGGTTTTAGTGTGTTAATATGGTGAATTACATTGACTGATTTTTAAATGTCAAACCAACACTGCATTCCTGGGATAAACCTCACTTGGTCATAATGCAACTATCCTTTCCAGATATTGTGGATCCCATCTAAAATTTTGTTACTTGTTTTGCATCTATGTGCATGAGAGGTATTTGTCAGTAGTTTTCATTTCTTGTAATGTTTTTATATGGTTTTTGTACTAGGGTATTGATGCCCTCATAGAATGAGTTAGGATGTACTCCATCCTCTTTCAGAGTTTCTGCAAAATTGGTATTATTTATTCCTTAAATATTTGGTAGAATTCACCTGTGAAAATATCTGATCTTTGAGGTTTCTTTATGGGGAGGTTTAAAACTATAAGTTTAACTTTTTAATATACAGTGCTATTCAGGGTATTCATTTTTACTTGAGTTTTTATAGTTTATGTCTTTGTACATCCTAATAATTAGTACATAATTATAATGATAGACTAAATCAAGTTAAGATAAAATACACTTACTTTTGAGTTTAAATTTTATTTTTCAAGGTTAAGTAACAAACTTTTTTCACCATTTACTATGAATTTCTAGAGCTCATTTTTTATTAATTAATTTAGTGGCCTTTTAATACTAAGAGAACAAAGACCTCTATATTAGTAAATAATACTAAGGTTTCAGATACAGCAACTAATTCCAGCATGGCTCATTTATAAAAGATAGTTAAACAATAAATACTTTCCATAAATTAAATTGTGTCAGCAATATTCAGTTAGGGTAAAATACTGGATTGCAGAAACAGTTTTATATGCTAATAAACTTTAATTCACTCTTATAGTAAAGAACATACATTTATATTTTAAAACACAAAACCACCTAAACTCCATGTTGCATTTTATAGCATATGAATAGCAGTGCTGCTGTTGATATGTCTTATAGTTGATTCTCTGTTCAACAGAATAATTTGTTCATAGGCTACTGTGAAACAGACAATCACTGAAAATAATTCAGGATAATTACAGTCAAGAAACTACAAAGAGAATGTCAGAGTCAACATTGGCATAAATTGATTCCTGGCTTCCGAAGAGACAATATACAGATTAAACTTCACTGCAGTTTGTACGTTGGGGTCTGAGAGAGTGACAGTGCCTACTTTACTTTATTGCACTGAGATGCTAAGTTAGTTCGCTAATTATAGCTAAAATTAGAGGCCCGGTGCATGAATTTGTGCAAGGATGGGGTCCCTCGGCCTGGCCCGCAATCAGTGCCAATTGGGGCCATCTTGCCCAGTCCCTACTGGGGCCAATCGGGGCCACTGCCCTGGGGGAGAGACCGTAGGACGTTGGCCAGCCACGGGAGGTTGGCTGTGGGAGCACACTGACCACAGGGGGCAGCTCCTGCATTGTCTTCCCCCTGTGGTCAGTGCGTGTCATAGCAACCAGTCGGCCAGTTGGTTGACTGGTCCTAACGGTCACTTAGGCTTTTATATATATATAGATGATACAGCCTGAATTAGCTTGTGTTTATGGGTAAATATCCACAAGACTGCCACCCAATTATGAGTACAGACTTTGAGCATTTTCAGTAGCACCTGAGCCATCCTCTTGATTTCCTCAGTTACTGAAGAGCCTCAATAAGCCTGGCTTTGTGGGAGACACACTCTCCTATATAATAAAAGTGTGATATGCAAATTGACCGA